GTTAGAAGGCTTAGGAATGGAGTTTTCCTCACTGTCTAACTTTACAGTTGTCAATTTATAAAAATCTTGTTCACTGTCAACATTGTCTTCGTAAACGCACGTTGAATCTTTATTAATGGCCAGTTCTAATGGTGAACTTCCTTCTGCATGTGCTACTGGAGTTTCTTCATCAACATGACTTTTACTCTTTAATTCATCTGTAAAAATGATTAAAATAAGAAAAATATATTGAATATAAATAATCAATATTATTTATTATATAAAAAAGAGAAATAATTTATTACCCAAATTTTCATTTGTTTGTTGAACAACCTTACGACAATCTGTACATCCTTCTATCTCCAACAAAATACACATTCTACATTTAAAATGTCCACAATTATCTCTTATAAGTCTTCTATCTGTTATATTTGTTATTGCTTGACATTTTGGACATTGTACTTGCATAATTATTTTTTCTTAAACTAATAATATTTTATACAGTGGATCAAATAAGTATTGGCACACCACCTTTTTTTTTTTTTAAATATTTTCAATTGTTTTTTTGACTTTAATCAAAGTAAATGAATCACGTTTTTTAAAGGTTAAAACGATGTATAAAATAATCTCCACCATATTTGTATCTCTAGAACATTTAATTTATCCAATTACACTAACGTAACCCTTTCTTTTATTCAAATAAATAAATAACAAATATTTGGCGCGAAATATGATATTTAAAATATCATTATTCTTTTTCTTTATTAATTACGAAGATATTTGATTTTTACGAGATTAATTTTATTGCAGCAATTGTTAATAAAAATAATTTATTTTTAATATTATTAAAAATTAATGAAATTAATGAAATTAATGAAAATAGAATATTATTTATTAAAAATAATCATGAAATTGTCTGACTTTGCCAATAAGTCAAAATTTGAAATACATGTTTTGTCATTTAATGAAAATAAAATAATGCGAGTGCTGCCATCTCGCATTATATCTATCCGAATTGAAATCAAAGAAAATGCTCATAAATTGATAGGACGTTGCGTTATACCTCTCGCTTTATACCACGGATTATGCATCTTTGAGCTGCTTAAAGCAGTGCCGACTCATCACTAAAAAGATTTCAACCAAAAGTTCGTTTTATTCTTATTGAAGGAGATTGAAGAAGTATCGTTTAATCATTAAAACTTGAGTATATTGTTTCTTTAAAAATTCTACAATATGATTATAACGCTGAAAAATTTACAACAACAAACGTTTACGGTAGAAATTGACCCATCCGAAACGGTGAGTAAAAATCTCCAATGATATTAAATTTCACTTACTTTCATTTTAGTTAATTAAACAAATCATTCTTTTTTCTTTTATTTGCAGGTAAGAGAACTTAAAAAACACATCGAGACTCAAGAAGGTTTTCCTACCGAACATCAGAAGTTAATATATGCTGGTAAATTCAAGCCCATAACCTCACTTTTTTACTACTCAAATTTATAATATTTCTAACTATGCATGTACGATTGATAGTAATCTATTATGTATGTTATTTCAAAAGATTTGACGTATATAAACATTAAATATTAGTTTAATTACTTTTATTTGTATATAATATATGATTTATTGCAGGTTAAGTTTAAAACCTTTTTACAAAGATTGCTATATCATTTGTCTTTCTAATATCTATATATATATATATACATATATAGATATGCATACCATATATATATATATATATGTATATGCATTTTATATTATTGCATATATTGATGCAATGCATTCATACAACATTAAAATTGACTTGTCATTGTTTCAGGCAAAATACTAATAGATGACAAACCATTGACAGAATATAGTATCGATGAAAAGAAATTTATAGTTCTTATGATTACAAAACCTAAAGCTGGTAGTGGTTCTACTGCAACTGAAGAACAGCACAATGTTGAAAGTGACAACAAAGAAGACACAACTACCAGGTATTTAAATAACATCATGTAATATAATGATGTTAAACAAAAGTATAATTATTATCAAGAAATGATATTTCATAAAGATCGCAGTGGTTTTCAAACTTCAATCTTTTGCAGATGTTTTTAAATGTAAATATTTATGTTACAGAGTTCTCATTATGAAAGTAAATGTTTTTAGAAATAATTTATGTAATTTAATAGTATTTCTTATTTTTTGCCATAGTTCAGCACCACCACCTAGTACAAATCCCACTGCTCAGACTGTTTCTCAACCACCTACAAATGTGCAAGAATCAACAGTGACAGAGCCAGCGGCTGCTGGAGGACAAGCCGAGAGTGCCTTGCTGATGGGTGAAGAATACAATACAATGGTAAACAATATCATGGATATGGGGTAAGTTAAATATTAAATAAATTTATATTTACGCGTATACATTTACATTTGTATAAATAACTTACATTTATATTTACCTGTCATATAAATGTAGGTAAGTGCATTTATATTTTGGTATAAACTTTATTTTTCTTAGATATGAACGAGAACAAGTTGAGCAAGCTTTAAGAGCAAGTTTCAACAATCCAGATAGGGCAGTTGAATATCTTCTGACAGGTATACCAGCTCAATTGTTCGAAGATCCATTAGAGGATCCTGCTGAAGCGCAAGAACAACCTCAAGATCAAGGTCAAGATCCTTTGGCATTTTTGCGAATGCAACCACAATTTCAACAGATGCGTCAAGTTATTCAACAGAATCCTCAACTGTTAAATACTGTGCTTCAACAAATAGGACAAACTAATCCTGCGCTTTTACAGCACATTTCACAAAATCAAGAAGCATTTATACGTATACTGAATGAGCCAGGTTTGTTTCTTTAAATTAAATGATAAATTTGGCAAATATTATTAATGATAACTTCCTTAATTGGGTATTCATAAACAATGAAATCTTTTTAATGTAGTAGAAACAACTGGTGGTACAGGCGCACGAGTTACACCGGTGTCTGCAGCAGCAGTAGCATCAGCGGCTGCTTCAGGTGGTCTTTCAGGTGGTGGTGGTGGATCTACCAACACCCGATCAGGCTTTGAAATGATTCAATTGACACCACAAGACAGAGAGGCTATTGATAGGTTGACAGCATTAGGATTTCCTGAACACCTAGTTGTACAAGCTTACTTTGCATGTGAAAAAAATGAAAATCTTGCTGCTAACTTTTTGCTATCTCAAAGTCTCGATGATTGAAGTTATACATACGTATGAGTTTAAAATATCAATGGACTGAGAAAGAGTGGGGTAATTACATCCATAACCACTTATTTTCACAGTAATTACGATTGCTTTGTTTGTAAATATACGTACATGTTTAGGATATTTTATTCATTATATACAGGAGAATTGACATGTATATCAACAAGCTAAAAATTTTATGTGATATATTCATAAATGTATCAACAAAACAAAAAAAAAGAAAAAAAAAGAAAAAATAACAAAAATAACAAAAATGGCTGGAAATGCAACAAATCTATAAAATTACACATATTGATTATCCAAATTCTATTTGTTGTGCTATGTCCATGTATTCATGGATTTTCACCTTAAAAACTACATGTATACACACACACATTATTCTTGCGGGCTATAAGAAAAAAAAAAAAACAAAAGAACAAAGAAGATTTCATTTGGAGCTTGTATTAAAATATAATTCATATTTATGGGTCATATTAACAGCCGTATTTATGGTTAAACAATTTTTTGCTTCTTCACTCTCTGGACAAATTTTCATTCTATTTTTACGTAAGAAAGTCCACGTAATAAATAATAAATAATAATAATATTAAAATAATAATAATATTAATATTAATAATAATATTTGTAGTTTGTTCATAGAAAATACGTTTACTTTATTGTATTTATACATTCAAAACTAAGGATAGTTATAGATATCAGTAAATAACAATAAATGAATAAATACAAATACCCTTTTATGCATGCATTTAAATAATTGCATATACATGGAGGGGTTATACATATGTAATTCTAGTTCATTAATGTACTTTGTGCACTTGATGGACTTTCTGATGTAAAAACAATGGAGAGAGAGAGAGAGATAAAGAAAGAGAGAGAGAGAGAGCGAAAGAAAGAGGTGCATTTTCATATACATTGAAATTAATCTTGTATATGTTATGTACATTCGCATATGTATAAACTAAACAAACAAAAAATATCTTGTATTTTTTAAACGAAAATGAAAGAAAAAAAAAGAGATAGTTGCACATTCAATGAAACAAACAAACAAACAAAATTGAAACAAGTCAATCCATTAAAATGTGTAAGAATTATAATACAGTTTCTAGTGTTGATGAATTATAATGAAATTTTAATTAACACGTAAATATATATATTTATAAATATATATATATATATATATATAATGTGTACGTATGTGCATCAAACTTTTTATTTAATTCTTAAATAAAGAATATTGTTTTTTCACAAATAAATAAATAAAAAAATAAAACATTAAATATTTTAATTTTATCTATAGATAATTGTGAGTATAACAAATTTGGAGAATTCTTAAGATATATACGGTTTTGCGAGAGAACAATATATAGGAATTGTAGATACGAATTGACTTTTGTTCATCCATTACTGCTATTAAAAAACTAATACTCTAATCTATGAGAAAGAGAGCTTTTACGGAGAAATAATAATAATAAGAAGAAGAAATAAGAAATAAAAAAGAATGGAAAAGAAAAGAAACTAAAAAAAAAAAAAAAAAGGTTTTTCTCTTCATAACAAAATGGATAACAACATTGTGCTCGTTTAAATATAATTTGCGTGATTAACTTCTGAATTTTCAGTTTAATCCTTTTCTCTTGTTTTATGCATACGTGCATATTTAAGGATTCTTTTTTTATTGTATGGTACATATATATATATATATATATATATATATATATATATATATTATATACACACACATTCATGCGTGTATGTAACTAATGTGTGTGCGTGGATATGTGTAACACACACATGCAAATTTTCTTTGAAAATATATATTATTATAACAATGTTGAGGAGGAGACTGTTTCTCAAACAAATGGTATAACAATACTCTATTTTCAATTCATCAGCAAGTAAGAAGATAAAAGCAATTATCTTATCTCGAATAAATTTAGTAAATATTATAAAAAAAAAAAAGAAAAAAAATAGCATTGGAATCCAATTTATTGGATGATTTTATATATTTTTTGTTGTTAAATCTAGAAACACTTTGAAGCAGCAGAACTTTGATTCTTTCCACCATTTTCAATATGTTTGTAATATTAAAAAGGAAACGAACAATCTCTAAATAAATGTATCTTCATTTATTAAAAAGAAAAATATAATTATATACAGATGTTACTTTAATCATATTAGATGAGTTAAAGTATCTTTTCTTGTTCTTGGTCATGTAATAGTTACATAGAACAACAAATACAAATAAATGCACAAATTGTGCATTAAAGAGATGCATTTACAAATAATGAATTAGAACAATAAATCACTTAAATAGTTAAAATGTACATCATAGAAGAATCTTAGATAGTTCATTGAAAACTTGTGTATAATATATAAATATATATATATATATATATATATTCATAGTGTATGCTTAATAACAACGGAGTATCAAAATATATGCACTATGTTCACGATAAAATACCTTTTTTTTGCAAATCTTTTTTAGCTTCTTCTATTTCCTGAAATATACATATTAATTATATTAATTAATTATAACATTGATCTTATTATCGAGTTTTGTGTATTTAAGCAGAAAAAAAGAACAAATATAATTACTCTTTTGAGTTCAGCTGCTTCCTTGTCGCAATCATTGAATGTAAATGTTCTGTATAAGACGACACTGGTTGCATACAAACCGAATACTAATAAAGTGATAAGAGGTAAGAATAAAAATATTTCTTGCCATTCTGTAGCATAAGAAAACTTAATATATCCAGTAATTACTGCTAACCAAACACCTAAAGGTACACTAGTATAGGTAAGCCATTCAGTTAATTTAGACATCTGAAAATAAAATTGAATTAATATTTACTGATTATCATTTTAATGACAAATGTTAGTTTATTAATCAATGATACACTTACTTCACGTATCAAATATAATACAATTAAAAATATTAAATATCAATTTCGTCACTAAACACACTTCCACGTATTTTTGATTTCTACTGTCAGATAAAGAGGATGTTTTTTATTATGTTGAAGTCATATCTTGTAGGTAAATAATATATTGTATTTCTTTTTTCTTATACGTATAAACTAATTTTGTACATTTAAAATGATTTATTTATTTAGGTCGTACTTTTATTATTTTTCTTATAAAATAAAATATTGTTGATTATCTGACTATCTATCTAATCTAATATTCTGATATCAAAGAATACAGAAGTACATAAAAGTTCACAAGTCCACTGTTCGCGTATATAAAATTAGTTTAGTTACTACCGGGACCACCAGAATGCGACAGTAGATGCTTAACGCGGTGACTGTACAAAATCATCAAAACATGCAGTATCCTTGGTAATATATATTTATTTATATTAATTTATGAATGTATTAATTCAATATAGGATTCAATTGAAGGGAGTGATAAAACTTTTTAAAATTAAGAAATAATAATTTTATTCAACATATTTATAAATGCATATTTCATTAGTATAAAGAAATTTATTGAAGTTAGTAATAGCCCTGTGTTCAAAATATATCCTTCAACTGTTTCAATATAAAAATGTATAATATTTTTTAAGTCATTCTGATAGCACCATCCAATCTTATTGTTTCACCATTTAGAAGTGGATTTTCAACAATTTGCTGTGCTAGTTGTGCGTATTCCTCAGGTTTACCTAATCTTTGAGGGAAAGGTATCATTTTGCATAAAGAGTTGCGTACTTTGTCTGGTAAAGTTGCAAATAAGGGTGTATCAAATAATCCAGGTGCAATGGTGACTACACGTATACCGTGTTTGGATAAATCACGAGCAATTGGTAAAGTCATTCCAACGATAGCACCTTTACTAGCAGAATACGCAGCTTGTCCCATTTGTCCATCATATGCTGCAACACTTGCTGTGTTGATTATAACTCCACGTTCACCATCTTCGTTAGGTGTATTGTCACCAATAAGACCAACGGCTAATCTTATCACATTAAAAGTTCCAATTGTATTTACTTTAATTACTTTAGTAAATTCATCTAACGGGTGTGGTTGATTTTTATTAAAATCATACGTTTTTTGTGCATATCCAATACCTGCTGCATTGACAACTGCAGTTAACTTGCCAAAATTAACTTTAGTTGTTTTCAAAGCGTTTAATACATCTTCTTCAGAAGTAACCTGTAAATATATTTAATATATATAAAATTAGGCTGATTAGATATAAATATTATAATCAAATATAAATGTAATCAAAAGTAAGGTTATATTTTTTAATAACTTACGTCAACTGGTACAAACAAAGCTTGACCTTTGTACTCATTGGCAAGTTCTTGACCTTTAGAACTGGGAAGATCTGCAATTACAACTTTTGCACCTTCTTTGATAAATCTTAAAGCTGTCCCACGACCAAGACCAGATGCTCCACCAGTTATTAGTGCTACTGTATTCTAAAATGTTTCTCAATTTCAGATTATTTGTTCTTATTAGATATAAAACTATTATTTTTTTAACATAAAAACACCTAACTTTCGTTTTAACTGTTTTCTATTTGTTATTATAATTTGTACTATCATTTTTTCTTTGTTTTATACAGTATTTACAGAAAAGAATTCACACATATATATACATACATATACAGTTGTTACAGATAATTTAAATCACGTGAAATTATTTGTTGTTAGAAATAATAATTTTCATTGTTATTGTTGTGTATTAAAAAAATGGTAGTTACCTTGAGCATTTTAATTTTAGTATGTAAAATACGGTTATTTAAATATTATCACTAAGAAAACGAGTTGTTCCTTTTTACACGATCAAAAGCAGACTGTGCACTAATTTAGTTGTTTTTACTTAATATGTACATGAATAGTAGATAATTATCATTTGGACATTGATCCTTGCAGATTATTATTTTTTTTTTTTTGCGGATGTATGATATAAAAATACAACGGTCATTTAAACATAAATTAAAATAAAATAATGATTTTTAAAGCTTGCTGAATAATAAATATTATAATTATAGTGATAATATTCTTATCACTAATCTACTGTAAATTTTGTTAAAAAATGTTATCAGTATATAGTATGTAATATATATTTTAAAATGTATTTTAATTATAAATTATACAGTAAATAAGAAATATTATATGAAAATGTAAAAATAACTTTTATAATAATTTTTTAAAGATTTTCTTTTTTCATTATTCGTAAGATAAAACAATTTATTTATAGAATAATTTATCAATGATTGGTTTTTTTTTTTATTGTGGATCAAAAGTGTGAATTTAGGGACTATTTCGTTCATTCAAATTCCTCGATTGGAATATTTCATTATAAAGAATTGTAAGTTCGCCTTAAGGCTAAATTTGTCCCTAGAATATTTTTGATACTTAGTAAAATAATAAAAAAATCTCTATATTCATAACATTTATTTACAAGAATGTATTCTTTATAATTATGGAGGGTAGTGGTAAGGAGTAACATCTCTGTATAAGAAAAGTGTCCGTCGAAATGCATTTAATTAGGGTGGCGCCACAGTAGCTTCAGGGTAAATTTTAAAGGAAGCGCCAAATATTATTAGAGTAGGATTGAGAAATAAACAAGGAACACAAATTTTACCCATAACTGTTTATTTAGATACTTTTTCCTAAAATTAAATGATAAAAAATCAATAAACGTACTATTCACAGTTCACGAAATAAAATCACTCTAGCTACACGTTTTCTCATAATAATTCTTTAAGGTTATATTTACTACATTATTACATAACTCGGCATACTTCAATTCGTTTACAATTGCTACATTCATACCATACCTTCTGTCTACACCAGCGCTATTCTGGAAGGTTTTTGAACTGTTATTTATAGAAAATGTTGGACACTTTTTCACATTTTCTCCCATAAGAGATGTTACTCATTACCTTTACCCTCCATATTTATATTAATTATAACGAATTCATAAATGATATAGGATTTTATTGTAAATTATTCTAAAAGAAAGATTTAGTGATAAAGTGAGAGAGAAATTGCTTCATTTATTATACGCAAGATGTCGTTCGTAAACCTAGTCATGCGCCAAGTGTAGTGCGCAAGCTGTTGTGCGCAGGTGATTAAATATGAATGATATAATCGTAAATAAAAATAAAATACAATATACAAATTAATAAAATAATAAACTATTATGCACTATATAAAATATAAAATGCAATAATAACAGAGAAATATTGTATTAAATTTTTAAAATTGTATTACATCTATAATTGGTTTAATTTTGTAAAAATTGTCCATATGTCCTACAAAATTTAAAAAAAAAAAAACAAAGAATGACTTTTTATGATTTTTTTTTATTTATCTAACTAGCAATATAATATTAACATAAGATACATATATAAATAAATTAATAAATATCGCTTTTCACATACACATACTTATGCATATATGTATACATATGTGGTATACAAGAAATTCGTATCGAAATCATGAATTTTAGTTGATTGAAAAATAGAAAACAATAAAAAAGAAAAAGAATGGATAATCTTTGGTTAGTTTATCTCGACTTCTAATTAGAGTGGCATTCATGACTTTGTGGAGGGAGAAGAGGGAGGGTTGAAGGGAGAGAGGGATGAAGAGCATTAAAATCCTACGAGGGTATAATTAATGAGGAATCGGATGTAATTACCGATGGCAAAGTCAAGTATCGTTCGTGGAATGATTATGTCTGAAGAATTTTGTTTAAATGGCAAAATCGTTACTTACTATATATATATATACTTACCATGTCTGCGTACTTGAGAAGGTATCGACGATTCTTTATTGAAATTTTTGCTTATCAATGAATTATGTGTTAAATATTATGCATCAATATGCATGATGTACTTAAACAAAAAAAAGAAAAAATAGAATTTTGTACGGAAATTTGTTATCATGGATTTTTCCATTTAGAATTTATAATTTGTGATTATTTAATATAAAATAAAATATGATTATGAAATGTTAAATAATATCATCAGTTGATGTATAATTGTCACGTATAATATAAATTTTATTTTTATACTCTGTAAATTAAACTGTGTAGTGAACTGTTTTATTTATGATAGATTTATCAAACGTGTATTTTAAATTTCATTTGTTAGGTTTTTTTATTATATTGCAACAATTGCATAATCCTTCTAAGAAAGATATGAATAAAAAAAAAAGATGTTAATCAAACAGTTCATTTTAAAATAGTCCAACCATCAATTTTGTGTGCTTTGATGTTTTGTGATTGTAAAAAAAAAAAGGACTATATTATAGTATATTAATATAGTATTTTATATATTATACTAAAAAATAGATTATTTTCGTATATTATTCGTTTGTATAATAAGTATATCAAACGTATGAAAATTTAAATGTAAAATTTCGATAATTCATCTTGTTGTTATCTCTTTCTCTCATTTCTATTCAACTATATCCATAGTGTTAGATAACGCTTGATGGTCACCAAAGTTCTCTTAACTTGACTAATTATCGGTAGGAACGTGTTGCAAGCAAACTGCGCGTAACAGTAAGAAGTAGAATATAGTTTAAACGAACTGTGGTTAGTTAAACAACTTCGTCTGTTCTATCTTTGAGTTTACAATCGGACACCAAAGCTAAAGTGGATTGTAGATAACACTTTTGCTTTAGTAGAATGTAACACGTGAAACGTGAGACGAAGCTGGATTTGCTTTGTGTAATCTATACATATATATAACATAACATTGTATGTATATAATATACATAATATAATGTAATATATAAAATGTATATAATAATGTATAAAATATACATATAATATTGTGTGTGTGTGTGTGTGAATGATATATCTCCTTTAGTATTTCAAATATTTTCATATTATTTTCATTTTTCTAATTTACAAAGCAAAAACCATGTATGCAGATCACACAAGTTAGAATTGAAACTTTCAACAAAGCAAGTTTTAAGCAAATGAAACAAATATATAATATCAGGAGTAAGATAATTTATTATATAATATTATTATAATATTTTTGTAATTATTTATGTAATAATTATGTAATAATTATAAAAATTACGCGCCTGTAGGAATGCAACCCTCCGGACACGCTTGAAAATATTGCTTGCGAGTGCCATCTATTAAAACGGAATTTATTTTCTGCCCAAAAGATAAGCAACCCTTAATACACACGTGTATAAACAGTGGGTTGAAAAAAAATTCCGTTTCAACAGATGGCGCTCGCAAGCAACATTTTCAACTGTGTACGAAGGGTTGCATGCTTACAGGCGCGCATTTTTATAATTATTAATATAAAAATTAATAGAAAATAATTTTTTAATTATAATATAAAAAGAAAACAAAAAAAAAACGATACATAAATGATTAAAACAGATAATAAAATTATAAGAAATTTAAAATAAAGTAAATAACAATTTACATCGAATATAAAAAAAATAATTCGATCATCGTTTTATCTAAAAAATATTAATTTATCTTTTGATTGGAAGTAATTTTTGTGAATAATAAAAACAAAAGAAATTAGGATGATGAGATTAAAGAGGGTTAGAACGTTGAACGCAAATTGGGATCACTAGACGGTAACAAAACAACAACAACAACAACAACAACAAGGTGGTGTATTCGTAGGGGTTTTACGCGTGGGGAGTGAATTTCACGCGTGTCGTTTTTCTCACTCCTACCTTCCACACTGTTCATTCTTCCTCCTCTTCCTCTTCCTCTTCCTCTTCCTTCAGAATGCGTATCTCGCAGCACCTGTGCATACTCCGTGTTTGTTCATATGTTGCATTAGCAAGCTTACCACGCGCAAGCCTTTCCACCGATTGATCGTACGTGGTCTGCTCGCGAGAGTAAGCACGTTTGTGGTAAGCCTTAATTTAACGATCTCGAGAGAGAAAAAGAGAGAAACAAAGAGAGAGAGAGAAAGAAAGAGAGAAAGAGAGAGAGAGAGCTTTGTATGATAATAAAAATATATCTCGTTTATTTTTACTTTGCGATGTAATCAATTCGTTCGTTCGTTCGTTCGTTCGTTCGTAGGTTCGTTCATTTGTTCGTGTGGGAATAATTAGATACATTTAAATTTCTTAATTAGTTACGCTCATTAGAGAACAAACGTTAACGAGTTTCTCCTGGAAAATGGAAGAGAATTTTGGGGACGTGTGCGTGTATGTATGTATGTATGTTATGTTTGTGTTCCTCTTCTTTTTCTTTTTCTATTTTTTTTTTTTTTATGTCTGTGTATTTGTCTGATTCTCTAATCGAAAGTGATGCATCAGTTTGTTGTTTTGTTAATATAATGTTTATTTTTATATTTATATTATTTTTTTATTTTATATGATATATAGTTTTTTTGGTTAAATATAGTATGATAATGTCTGTGATATTAATGGTATGTATCAGGTAATATGTATGTATGCATGTATGTATGTATTTATGTAGAATTTGAAAATTGGTATGGTCGATGAATAATATATGAATTAATTAATGTCTCAAAGGAAAAACCTGACCAATATGTTAATTTATATATTTTATTTATTATTATTGATATTTAAAGTACGTTGATGTAGGATTTTGGAATTTCAAAGATAGATGTATGATTAATTTCACGTGAAATTAATTAATGTTACTAAAAGTTAAAAACTAATGAGTTTTTTTGTATATATATATATATATATATATATGTATGTATGTATGTACGTTTTGTGATTCATTTTATTTATTATTAATTAAATTAATTATATGAAAATGATGATAATTGTATAAATGTATAAATCGTGGAAAATTGATAGGTTAATGAAAAATATGAATACATTTATTGATATCAGAGGAAAATAGTATATAATTAAAAATACCATCGTGTATAATTTTACTCATTTCTAATTACATTTTTCTTCGTATCATTAA